AAATACTTACTACCATCTTGCGAGAATTCTTAAGGGAATATCTTTAGGCTCAGATCAAGTACGTTTCAATAAATTATTTTCAGGCATTTTTTAGGCGCAAACATTTGCAGCACTGATGCAAATGACCACTCACGCTCAGCAAGTCCTGAAGAACCTCTAAAATGCTTTGAGAGCCTAATTAAAGTTATATACATAATTTGAAGTTATATGATGACATTTCATCAAAAAGATGATATAAATGAGACTGGCTTTCTGATTAGTGAAGTTTAACTTTAAATCCAAGCAAGAAATAATATCCATAACTACACTTTTCCATTTCAACAACACAGGAAGATTCAAGTTTCTTCCATAGTCATAGGTTTCACTTTTCAAATCACTAGTCTCAGTAAACTTATTTATACTACCTTCATTACACAGTTGTGAAACTGAAGCAGAGATACTGAGCTATTCATGGTCACACAAAATTAAAGGACAGAGCTTGAAATAGAGCCCAAGTCTCCATTTTTTTCATTCAGAGGTATAAACGTTAAAGAGTTTCCCCAACCCTTGATAGCTTCTAAAAGTACAATGGAACCCTTTATACTAAGATTGGGGACCATAGTCAACTTTTGGCTTGCTACCTGGACATGTTCTAGCCAACTTTTATTCTAAGTATCCATAATACTCTATGGGAGATGATTTGACTTCAAAATGCATATATATATTCAAATGCATGCATGATCACATCCCAGTGCATGAAACTGTTCATTAGTCTTGTTACTGGAGGGTTCTAATGTATCAATACAAAACCCATACATCGTCTATAAAGGCCTGAAAGACCTAATATTCTCATAAAATCATTCCTAATGGTGACAGAAATCCACATAAAATCTCTGCAAAAGGCAGGCAAATGAAAAGTACTTTTCCCAGTACTACTTCTTCATAGCAATATTTTAAGAAAATCCTGCGTCAGCACTTTTTGGAAAGGTCACACTATTTAGAATGCTTCTATGATATTATGGTGAGGAAGATAAGGACAATGGTTTAGTAATTTACTGTCTGAGAGGGTCATGGCAATGCATCAAAGAGGTAAGGAGGAGAAGAAATATGCAATGAAAAGAGAGAATGAAAGGAGGGACAGGCAGAAACAAATCACTCATTGTTGTCATCCTTCTGACTTGACTTCAAAAGGTAGTCATGCTCATTAAGTCAGAGCAGGTCACTCTAACTCAAAATCAGGCAATCATGATAAATGCAGGAGAAACTACATCCAGAATTAAAGACAAAAAACTTACCACCTAGAAGAAAAATTCATAAAAATCAAAAGAGATGGATCCAGAAAAGAAGAATAAGAAAAATACATTTCAATATGGTTAGTTGTTATAACATCTATGGTACACTCTAAACTCTAAGAAGCATGCACAATATTAACTGTTTTAACCAAATTTCAAAACAAAGAATCCTCTAAGTATTACTAACCATTTTCTTTTAAATTGCTAAGTCTTGGGGGGAGGTAGGGAGAGCAGAATTTAGAAGTCAAAACTTTAAAACAAAGACATGTAATTGGGGGAAAATAAAATATATTTTTTAAAAAATTGCTAAGTCTATGGTGAGACAAAATAATTTTTAAGGTGATCCCAGAGATTACAATTTGGAAAGTTTAACTGCCTTGAACCTTTCTCTCCTCAACCAGCAATTTTAGTCTTCTGGGTATCTGTTTACTATCTATGATAACAGATAACCACAGAAAAGCTCCAATTTGTTTCAGCAGTCCCTTCCAAATCATTTTAACTTAGTTGCACAAAAGCAGCAGCACAGTCCATGTGCCTGGAACACCCAGAAATCAGAAAAAATATCTCTAAAATAATAAAAAGTAGACAAAATAAGCTTGTCTTAGCCAGCCTAGGATTCTGATCATAGTTTCTTGGGCAAATTTTGAAAAGGTGATCATGTTCTCAATATTACAGCCCTCAAAAGGTTAGAAATGTAATCCATCAATATTCCTACTTGCCCTTAATAACATATCATCCTATCCTATCATCCATCCATGACTCCTTTCTAAAAATCGATATTGTCAGTCTGAGCCACCCCAGAGTAAAAAATATTCTCAACGTTTCTGACCCGCTCTAAAGCGGAGAGCTCCCTCTAGTGATCGATCATAACTCCCTCCCCCAATATCCCATTGATTCACATCTCTGGACATGAGGGGAGGGGAAGGAGGGTTGTTTTGAGAGAGGGTTGTTTTCACCTAGTAGTAGCTTGTTTTGTCTGTCTCTCTTCTTATCCTCTTAATAATTCGTGTGATCCTTCTCTGGATCCTACAGCTCTGTTACACCTTAAGAGGCAGCACCAAGTTTTTATACAATCAAAGAATATTAATTTGTCTTGTGTGCCCAGCATTTTGTTGGCTTTTTGGGTCACGACAGCACATGAAAACTACTGGATCAGATTAACTAATGAGTAATATACTAATTCTAATTATTCTCAACTACAGGTCAAATTCCAAATTCCAGCATAACAAATACTAAGGGAGGGAACCAATTCTTTAATCAATGGAATTACCTCTGTTACAATAAATACTGCCTAAAATAAATATGCATGGAAAAATAGGTAAAAATCATCTTGCACATATATACATATGTGTGCATACACTTTGTATAGTTTACATGCAGTGTATATGTGAACTGCACTAAGACTTTTGGGACACCCTGTATACATACATGTGTGTGACATGCATATATATAGGGTGTGCCAAAAGTCTTAGTGCAGTTTAAATCTATTAAAAGTTTTATGTAAAGCATGCATATATACACACAGGTATAGGGACAGCCTATTCCTATATGTATATGTTTATATATATACATATAAAATGTGTGTGTGTATACATATAGTGTGTATATATATCTACATATTAAGCAGTTAATATGTATACTATATAGTATAATTCATCTTGTGTATACACATATATACATTCTCCCTTTGCACATATTATATAATTTATTAAAATTGGTTCAAATACTTCTCCATTCTTCTATTGATGGGGTGCTTGGGTGCTTGTGTTTGGGTGCTTGTGCTTGTACTTGAACCCCAATTTCTCTCTAGTCTCAGAAAACACTGTCTCTGACAACCACTCCCCAGCCCAAGGACACTGTGCCTAGCAGTTATTCATGCATGGGCCCCAGCATGACCCTTATCTTTCTCCCTGGTGCAGCTATACACACAAAGCTGGGTGACAGAGTGCTGGGCTGCTCAGGCCCCCGCCCTCAGATCACGTCTCTGGAAGCCTCCCAATTTCTTAGTAAGTTCCTGTCTTATGAGAAAGCTTTCCCTTGTTGCAGGGCATTCTCTCATCAAGACAGAGGGAGAGGGGTGCCTTGACCAGCCCAAGGAGTTTTGTCCTTGACCAGCCCAAGGACTCTTCCTCCTGCCAGACTCCAAAGATCCATACCTCTGTTATCTCCCTCCCTGTCGGTATACTCCCTATACTTTCTCATCCATAGCTCCCAAAGACACCTGGAACTTTAGATTACCTCATCAGTGTCCCTGGCATTCCTTTCCCATGCCCTTTCCCATATAAACCCTAGCTCTATCCTCAGTCTCTTGCAGGTTCCTTAAGAATCCTTGCCCACTGAAAAGCGTAACAATAAATCTTTGCCACCTTGACTTAAAGAATGCTTGAGTCTGTGAATTCATTCCAGACGACCCTGTCCTGTACACCAGTCTTTGAGGGGTCTCAACCTCTCAGACCACAACACTATTTTACAAAGCTTCTCTAATTCTAAATTCAATATATCCATCATCTAACAAGAGTAATCTGAAATCTAACCAGTGTAAGCCAGTTGAGGTAAGAAAGTAAAAAAAAGCAAACCAGGATGAAATTCATAGATCTTCTCACCCCCGCTAATACAAATCATTCACTTGAAAGTAAAGATTTGATAATGATAGAATCAATATTCTCAGATTTAACTGTCCATTTCCATCCCAATAACAAATAGCTAAGGAAAAAAAATGCTCAGGTTCTGCCATCTAGTGGAGAATAGTGATATTTATATTTTTCATGAATTTGATGAATTTTATATTAAAATTTTCTATTTGGTTGTGTAAAGTTTTTGGGGGGGTTGGGGGTGGTGGTGAAGGGAATGCAGCATGGAGTAGTGGATAGAAGACTGGCCTTAGGGCCAAGAAGAACTTAGGTCAAATTCCACTTGTAACACACAGACTGCTTTCCTCACCAAGGGCAAGTGACTCCAAGTGCCGCAGGGCATCTCTTAAGACTAGTAACTACAGCTGAGCACCTCAGGAGTCCTCTCTCCCCCTTACCTCCCCACTCAAAACAATGAAATCAGTCATGGACAAATTATGATAAAAATTAATAATAACAAAAACAAAAACAACTGCATTATTCTTCCTCCTTCCAGTTCTGGTATATAAAGCAAAATGTCACAAGCTAATTTCTAGGGATCTGCGTTCATTGAGCTAACTGGCATGAAATAATGATCTCAGTATACTTTACCCCTAAATATAAGCTGTCCCCTAAAGGGAAAACTATATATTGGTATAAACCAAAAATAACTATGCAAAATTACAATATCAAAAGATTATATTTATAATTAGTTCTGTTGACTTCCTCCAATTCAAACAGAAGTATTAAATATTCATATTTCATTGTCACTGAACATATTAGATATCATACTCAGATTTATACAAGCCAGTCATACCAATATCATGCTTTTCCCAAGTAGCAATATCAAACTTTTTCCGTTTGAGGAAAAGTACCTACAAACACACCTTTTCTTATGGCACATATATAGATACTTCACACACACACACACACACACACACACTCACACACACACACACACACACACACACACGCACACACGCACGCAACAGGAGACCATACTGGCAAACTTAAAACAACATGCCTAATCCAGTCAACCTTACCCCATTTCACCCCACATTCAAGTAAACAAAACAACAAGTCTCTAATAGAAAACATAACCTCACAACCCTGTACTTACGTGGCCATGCAGATCAGTGTTGAGGAGCATGATGGCGCAGGTGAGGCAATGAACTCCATCTGAGGAAAAAGACAGGAATACAAATGATCGACCCAGACATTAGTCTGGGTCTGGGTCTCATGGTGACTCTTATCCCTGACAGAGGTGCTTATCCACCAGAATGGAAAGCACCGCATGACAACTTCCTGGGCAAGCAAGCTACTGAGCAAGGAATAACGCCATTCATCTTCTTAGATGGGTTAGATGATGTAAAGTCACTAAAACACCCTCACATTTAAGAAATAGCAAAGACTGCAGTGAATCTAAGCCCATTTCTTTCACTCTTTTTTTTTCCTTCTTTTTCCCTCAATTCTTTCCATTTTATTGACATAGGGAAAAAATAAAAGTTGAACGATAGTAAATGTTATTAAAGAAAACCAAGACTTTAATACCTTTCACTTTTAAGTCTACTAAAGAGTTGTCCAATTAAAATGACAGAGATAAGAAGTTTTCTCTTAATAAAGACTGAAAGAATACATCCAGTTTTCAAACCTGTGGGTATCTTCTAAGGTTTACCAAATTTGAAGAAAAAAAAATAAACAAAAATTTAAACTTGGAAATTGAAAGTACAAATTTCCTTTATTTCCATTGTGCTATTTCTGTGACAATTTGATTACTGCCTCTTTTTTTCCTAGGTGGGGCAGGGGGTAGGAAGGGGTAAGGTTGGGGAAACAGAGCTGTGATTTCACTGACAGAGAGAATTCCAAGTGAAGAAACTCCCTCTAATAAGGTAAATCAGCACCTCTTCTGAAACTAAGTTTTAAGAAAGTTTCCTGGAGGAGGTGAGAGGGTAACAGACCTGCCCAGAGTCACACAGCCAGTGTGTGTCAGTGGCAGGATAAACTCCTGTCTCCCTGACTCCCAGGCCAGCTTTCTATCCACCCTGCCATGACACTTCTTTAATTTCTTCCTAGGGAGAAAATGAAAGGAAATAGACAAAGCTCTTCAATCCCATGGGGGTAGTTTAATATTCTCTTTCTGTCAATCACTCAGCTAAATTCAGGATGTAAATCTAATACCAAGGAAAGTAAAATATCTCTTTAATTCAGATTACATGGTGGAAAGACCAGTCTGAACCAAATAATACAAAAAATAAAAGTGATTAAAAATTAACTCTTAGCAATCCTGGACTACAGAGACTGAGGTGAAAATAGACTGCTAAAAACCCATTGATTTCATCTATTTCTTTCTCTACCAAATTGTTTTAGAGTACCACTAATAAAATAACAGTATTAGTATCCTGTCCTACTTCATTTCCCATTCTATAGTGGGGGTGCAGAGAAGAAAGCCCAAAGATGGACAAAAGGAAAAAGGAAAAAAAAAAACCAATGAGAAAAAGGAAAAAAAATTTTTTTTCAGAAAAAATTGAAAAATCAGCCTCCAAACGAAATAGCTAAGGCCTTTTGTTTTTATTTAATATTAAACTACACTTATCCTAGTTAAAAGATATTTACTAGCCTTCTGTACTGATTAAAAAGGAAAAAAAAAACTATTTGACTTATATATAGCACATGTTAATTAATCCAGAAATTATTCATTGTAAACAAAATTCCCTCAACTCAAGCCAAGGGGATACTGACTTTACTTCTTAAAAAGTATGTTTTCTGGTGTGAACTGAACTAAGATATCAGAAAAGAACTGTATTCATAGGATGGGTCAACATGTCACTGTGAGGCAGTTGAAATCTAGCAAGTGGAAGTGATGACAAATGACTTACCCTCCCAGATTACTTTCCATTTATTCTACATCTATCTTATATGTATATATACTGTCCATTCCATTAGAATGTACACTCCATTAGGGAAAGGGCTGTTTTTTGCCTTTCTTTGTATTCCCAGAAGAGCTTACCCAATTCTATTTAACAAACACTTGCTCACTGACAGTGCTATTTAGACATCTTCAAGGCTAAGTCTAGACTACTGTAAAGGAAAGTAATTCTTCATTCCTCACTGGGTTTCACTCTGGACTTCAGTTCTCCTTGAAACTCCATTTTAAGTAAAGGACCCAAGCCAACCATGTTCACGCCTCACTTCTTTCCCATCTCTTCCTCCAAAACTCTTGGGTTTTCATCTTCTTTTTAGGGGAAGTCTTTCCCCATCAGAAAATGAATAGTTTCTGAAAGGCAGAAACTATCTCTTTCTTTTTCCTTAAATTTGTATTCCTAGCATTTGGCACAGTGCCTGGTAAACAGTAAGTGCTTCATAAATGCATGCTGACTCAACTTCATTAAAAGTTCAGAAATATACAAACAGATATGCTGAGCAAAATTACCTGATGAAAAAATGGTATCTGGATTACAATGAAAGTATCTGTTGGAGAAGTGGACTAAAACTCTCTCTCGTTCTTGGGTTTCCCCCATCAGGGAAAATGCCTTAAAGAAACACCTAAAGGAAGTTTTGAGAAAAGAAAAAATTAAAATAACACATCTTTCTCATAGGTTTTACAATTAATATTGTTTTAACAGAGATAGGGAACAAATCATAGTTACTTAAAAGGAAAGTAACAATAACAATGATAATAACAATAACATGTTTATGGTGCTTTAAGGTTTGCAAAGAACATACATAGTATATATCACATTTTATATAATACTTCATATGATCCTCACAACAATCCTGTGAGGTAGGTGGTGTTATTATCTGCATTTTATAGATAAGGAAACTGAGGTTAAATGAATTGCCCAGGGTCAAATAACTTTGTTGTTGTTTGGCCATTTCAGTCGTGTCTGACTCTTCATGACCCCATTTAGGGTTTTCTTGACAAAGATACTGGAATGATTTGCCATTTCCTTCTCCAGCTCATTTTATAGATGAGCAAACTGAGGCAAACGGGGAAACTGGCTCAGCATCCACAGCTAATACCTGTCTGAGGTCAGATCTGAACTCTTCCTTACTCCAGGCCCAAAACTCTATCCACTGCACCATCCAGCTGCCCCAAAAACTGCACTGACCAGGAGCTGAATCCAGGCCTCCCTCATGGAAGGCAAGAATTCTACCACTTAACCACCAATGCCATCATATAGCTAGTAAGTAGCTAAGTAGGATTTGAATTCATGTCTTCCTGATTACAATTCCAGCACTCTATCCACTATGCACCATACTTAATGGCTATTTGAGTCATGTGGGCATATCCTGCTAGCTGGCATAAGAGATAGAACCCTGAGCTTGGAATCAGGAAGATTCATCCTCCTGAGTTCAGATCTGGTCTCAGTCACTTTCTAGCTGTGTGACCCTGGGCAAATCATTTAATCCTGTTTGCCTTAGTTTCCCCATCTGTAAAATGAGCTGAAAAATGAAACTGCAAACCACTCCAATATCTTCACCAAGAAAACCCCAAAATGGGGTCACAAAGAATCAGACACGGCTGAACAACAACAATAATCCTGAAAATTAGAAAATGACATAAACCCACAAATGAGGATGAAAACAGAAAAATCCTATTGAAAATGCTTAATTTACTACTATGATAACTGGGTGGGGGGGAGAGAATCAACATGTATTAGAAAGACTGAAAAACAATAAATAAAATAACAAATGCATACTTAAAGGCTGAGACAACAACAAACATGGTGGTTAAAAATCAAGATGTCCAGGAGGCAGCTAGGTGGTGCAGTGGATAGAGCACCAGCCCTGGAGTCAGGAGGACCCGAGTTCAAATGCAGACTCAGACACACAACACTCACTTGCTGTGTGACTCTGGGCAAGTCACTTAACCCCAATTGCCTCACCCAAAAAAAGGAGAAAAATAAAGATGTACCTGTACTCCTTTGTCATTTATTTACTACTCTCAGATGTTCTGTTGTCCTTTCCTTACCTTAAAAGAAGTGTCATACTAAGAAAAGTTTTGTCCTAATTTTTTTTCCTATTTATTTTCACTATACCTAAATCATTAAAACTGTACAACCTGTGGACAAGCTTCTAAAGTGCTTCATAACCTGGTCTCAACCCAATCTTTGCAGCCTTACTGTGCCTACTCATCCTCCCACAATCCAAGCCTTCTCTCTGTTCCTCACACATGCTCCTCCCTTTCCTATGACCACACACTTGCCGTCCCCCATGTCTAGAAGGCACTTCCTCCTCAGGGAATCCATCTGTTCCTTCAACATACAGCCAACTACATTTGGCCTTTCATGTCTTAATGTCCTCCCTCCCAAACTTCCCTGTATTCACCTATTTTGTATTTATTATTGTTATATTTCTTTTGAATCTACAAATGTCTATGATGTCTCTCCATCAAAATGTAAGCTACTTACATTATAATTTAATCAGAAGTAGTGATTAGATATAGAATAGGGATTATTTTGAATATTGTATTTGTAACCCCAGCACCTAGCACAGTGTCTGAGCAGACAGTTAATAATTAGGTGTTGACTGTAAACATGACTCCTTGTTTTTTAACAGAATATAATTTCTTGGAAGCAAACTTCCTTGAACAGTTCCTAAAAGCGACTGATTCACAAAGTCAAACCCATACCAATCCCATTGGCAATGACTTCTAAATACAACAGGGCAGCACAGGGGCTGTCTGGTTCCTATATTACACAAAGGTGTGGATGTGACCCTGAAAATGTGTGTGTGAGGGAAGCTTGATATTTCAAGGAATATTATGGTTAATTTTTCTGTAAATGATCACCTCCTTTCTTCCTTCTAAAATCAGTTATTATTATGTAAATCATGATTTTTGCCTAAAGGGGTCCTAGAATTCTTTCACCTCCCAAAATCATTACCAAAATAAAAAGGGCCACCTTCCTCTGCAAGCATGGTTTCCTTGAAAACATCTACATATACTTACAACTCTCCTGTATCATCAGTAGATGGCAGTTATGCCTCAATCATGTTTACATGAAGTAGAAACGGAAGAACTCAGCCTGGGAAAAGTGTGTGTGTGTGTGTGTGTGTGTGTGTGTGTGTGTGTGTGTGTGAGAGAGTGTGTGTGTGTGAGAGAGAGTGTGTGTGTGTGTGTGTGTGTGTGTGTGTGTAAATAACATATAGACAAAAAACAGTAAATAAAATAACAAATGCTTAAAGGCTGGGAAAACAAACATGATGGTGGAACCATTTTTAAAATCTAGATGTCCCTGTAATTTTTTGTCATTTATCTACTACTGTCAGAAATTCTGCTATCCTTTCTTTACCTAAAAACAACGGGGGTGTTATATAGAGAGAAGTTCCTTTATCCCAATTGTTTTCTATGTATTATCACTACACCTAAATTGACATGAAACTACAACCTATGGATGGGCATCTGAATATCTGTATACACACACGTGTGTGTTTACAAATGCCTTTAGAAGCCATAGAAATGTGAAGGCAATCTAGTCTTAACACTTTTTATAGTTCTCATTCTTCTGCTCAAGAATTATTTCAAAAGCATCATCCTGAGGAGTTATTATTAGCATGTACACAAAGAAAAAACACTCCATATTACACTTAGAGAAAATGTCCATAAAACAAACTTCTAGGGATCTCAAATCTCATCTCTTTCTTTTGTCACCTTTCATAACTCTATAATTGAGATTCAGGCCACATCTTAGACAGGGAAAATTAGATTCATGATATCACACATCACCTCTCATTTTCTGACTTTTAATTTCTATAGTACAACTTTTAGGTTGTTGTTCAGTTGTGTCTAACTCTTCAGGACCCCATTTGGGGTTTTCTTGGCAAAGATCCTGGAGTGGTTTGCCATTTCCTTCTCCAGGTCATTTTCCAGATAAGGAAACTGAGGCAAACAGGGTCAAATGATTTGCCTGGGGTGATATAGCTAGTAAGTGACTGAGTCCGGATTTGAACTCATGAAGAGAAGTCTTCCTCTTTCCAAGCGCTATTTCCTCTGGCCACGGCACCACCTAGCTGCCCTTGTTCTCAGGTTGGCTACTTCTCTTTTGAGGGCCTCAGTTTCCATATGAGCAAAGTGAGAAGGGTGAGCCAGATGACTTTTAAGGCCTCTTTTCTAGATCTAAATGTCTACTCCTATGATCTGGCCTAAGATTGCAAAGCAATAAGAAGATGTTGCTTTTAATGAATAAAATCAAAATCAAGCTTGAATGCATTACTCTCTCCTGAGAGAATTACTTCTTTGGAAGTAAAGTGTCAACAACAAAAAGTGATATTTAGTCATTAAACCACATACCTGAGAGATTGATCCAGCGTCATTCCTGTAAAATCAAAAAACTTAAGGTATTCTTCAGCCACCAGCTTGCTGAATTCATTGCTATAAGAAAATGAAAAAATAAACTTGGTTAATAAAATAGGCCTGAACATCTACAGATGCTTAAGCCAAAGGGTTTAAGAATACATACTTCTTCCCCAAATGCTTGGCCACATCTGAACGCTTGAAATGGTCTAGGTGGTAAAGACGCTTGGCCAGCCGTCTGGCTGCCTCCAAGTTGCTGTTTGTTCCATTGCTGAGGTTGTCAGAGGGTTCTTTTTCCAGAAATTCAGTACTCCCCATTTCACCATGGGGCTCTTGATTGGACTTTTTCAGCCCAGCATTGCTGCTAGAGAGGAAAATACATATATATTAAAACCTCATCTTTTACACCAAAATATTTGTAGCAGCCCTTTTTTTTTTTCATGGTAGCAAGTAAATGGAAACAAAGTACAAGTCCATTAATTGGGTAATGGCTTAAAAAGTTTTCGGTACATAAATGTGATGGAATATTAATATGCTATAAGAAAAGATGAACTGATGAATACAGAGAAGTATGAAAAGACGTAAATGATCCAATGCAGAGCAAAGTAGGCAAATCCAAGAAAACAATATAAACAATGACTATACAATGAACATGGAAAGCATAAAGCCACCTCGACTCTCTCCCTCTACAGAGGTGGGAGGTCCATGAGTATGGTAGGTACATTGTACACATTTTCAGGTTTTTTCAATGTACTGACCAGTCTTGCTGCATTTGTCCTTTTTTCCCCCTTTAAAAATATTATTCGTTATATAAAGTGACTCTCTGGGCATGGGAAAAGGAAAGATGCTGAGGAAAGTTTTGGTGATATAAGTAAAAAGACATCAACAAGAAATTTATGTTTTAAAAACTTCAAATCCCCCCCCATCAGAAAAATAAAACAAGAAGTGTGATTTTCATGAATCTGCATACATGGGGACAGGTAATTTTTAACGGGCACAGTAAGCCTATGTTTCTCTACTTATTAAAAAATCTATAAACTACAAAGGCTGCAATGACTGTCTTTTTGTAGTACTTCACACAAGTTAAGCAGTCAAATACTGCCAAAGATATGGGATATTAAACTTTAGCACTTAGGCAATGACACGTGTAATTAAAACAGTATCATTAGTTAGAAAGTACAACAGCTAGGTGGCCCAGTGGAAAGAGAATCAGCCCAGGAGTCAGGAAGACTCATCAAATCTGGCCTCAGACACTTACTAGCTGTATGACCTTGCGCAAGTCACTTAACCCTGTGTGCCTCAATTTCCTCAACTATAAAATGAGCTGGAGAAGGAAACTGCAAACCACTCCAGTATCTCTGCCAAGAAAACCCCAAACGGGTCATAAAGAGTCAGACACGACAAAAAAGGACTTAACGACAAACAACAACACATGGACCTGTGTGACTTTGGGCAATTTATAGAACCTCTCTGGGCCTCCATTTCCTTATCTATATAAGAAGAGGGCTGGCCTGGAAGATTTCTGATATCTGCTCCAGTTTTAAATCCTATGAACTCCTATAAACATACAATAAGCCAGAGTTCCCCAGTTCTTCCAAAACTCATCAGCCCTAACCTTATTGTTTTCTCCTTTAACAAAAAAAAAAAAAACCAAATCCAATCAAATAAACTACTGCATACAAATTAAGCTAGATACAGATTCTTCCTGTCCCATTTCATTCATTTTAAAATAAATTTAAATTTTAAGTTTTAAGTCAAGGAAAAGAGAGAATAAAGCCATAAGGTCCATAACAGTAAAAATACACCAAAGAGTGATCACATGCTCATTCAGATTCCAGGATCATACAGTTAGAAACGGAAGGATGAGAGCCTGAGAGGTGGCAGGCCAGAAGGGACCACAGGGCCTGTCCAGTACCACCCCTTCATTTTATAGATGAAGAAACCAAGGGCCCCAAAGAGACTAAGGGATTTCACCAAGGTGGCACAGTTGCTTAAGAGACACACAGGTGAGATGTGAGGCCAAGATGGCAGACTGTAATGTCAGGGCTTACTCCCTTGCATCATGGAGAAAGCTCCATACTCTGATATCTGTTTTTTGGGGTTTTTTTGTTTGTTTGTTTTTGGTTTTTTTGGTTAGGCAATGGGTTAAGTGACTTGCCCAGGGTCACACAGCTAGTAAGTCTGATATCTATTTTAACGTGGCTTTGGCAGGCAGGCCAAAATCAGCAACCTCCTCTCCAAAGTGGTGAGCAATACAACATGAAGGTGACCTACAAATGCTACGACATATGCTTATGCATGAGCATTAGTAACAACATAAACTGTCCAACCTGAAAACTATACAATATTATTACTATTTTTTTTTTAATTTATACAATTAGCGGGTCCAGGAATTCCTAGAATTGCGTTCTCATGTCCTCCCTTACATTTCCAGCAGTGCACACAAGTTCCTATTGCTCAGAAAAACAGTTTCTCATCCCTCCCAAAGAGAAGCTTGGTACTGACTGATTCATACTGTTCACACTTGTGAGAATGAGAGTAGGGAGCTGGGGTTAGGGTTTGCAACCTGTGACATCACTGGTGGGAGGAGCTCCCCGGGGTCAAAACTTCCATCAATATAGAACAGCAATTCACTTTTTTCTTTAAATTTTTCAAATTTTTATTAGAATTTTATGAGCGTTTCCCCTTCCCTCTCCCCCACTACAAAAACTCTCACGACAAAAGACACAGTACAGCAAAACACATTCTTACATTTACCATATCCAGATACGTATGCCTCATTTTGTATTTTAAGTACAACACGCTCTGGCAGGAGATGAGCAGGGCTTTCACATGTCGCCTACAGCGCTGAGACATTAAGTGACTTGACCCCTCACAGAACAGGGTCATCAGAGTCAGGATAAGAACCCAGGTCTCTGACTTCAAGGCCATTTCTCTATCTGCTAGGCCACCCAAGCTCCCAATGTTCCCCTAAGCCCAATTAAATATCCTTAGGTACAGCTTACACACAATTTTGCTATCTTTTAAATATCATCTACCCTCATCAAAAGCACTAAAACCAATTTCTTTATGCTACATTTAATTCTCTCACATGCCAAAACTCTCTTGACTCTTTCCAATCCAAATTCACCTACCTCACTTCACCCAATTCTCCTCATAATCTCCGGCATTACATCAGCCTCCATTCAGCCTCTCGGTCTTCTTGAAGAAAAGCTTCATTAAAGGGAAAAAAAGGGAGGGGTAAAGTCTCCCTTCCGGGCTCCCATCTCCTTCAATTTCAGGGTCCAAGGTCTGATTCAGAAGGGTCCCTGAGGGATCACGGTGGCTGTTTTTCTACCTTTAACTGTTAAGCCTCTGGAAGCATCAACTCACCAGCAACAGCACCAATGCCCAAAAAAACACATTCCAATGTCTAGCATGCACTCCAGCCATACTTCTGTAAAGTCAACCTTCTGAAGGTACTTGCCGCACATACTCCGAGTGTCTGCTGAACTCCACTGGCATCCAGGTATTGAGTTCCCTGTGAGGTCACTTTACTATGACCTCACATTCTCTGTGGATTGTTTATTGTTGGATTTATCATGTTTTCATGCCCACAATAAAAACAAAAGCTAGAACACAGGGGCCCCTGTGCATCAGTAGACCCATAGACAATAGGGACCGGGCCAAGCAAACACTAGAGAAGTCAGGCTGAATGATCCCTATCACCAAGAATATACTCCCTCCTCCTGTTTCCTCCAATACTCAGAACATTGTCTAGCTTAAAGAGCTAGATGCTTTTCATTCTTTACTTTATGATTTAGATTTTTTTCCCTCTTTTTCTCTTTACTTTTCATTCCTTCCACTATTTCTTTTTTTTTTTCAGTCACATAATGCTCAACCCCTATCAGTCACTGGAACAGGGAGGGGGAACAAAAAAAATTAAAAATAAAAAAAGCTTCAGAAGATTAGAATCTTTCTTTCTTATGCAAAGTAAACCATCATTGGAAAAAACACTGTACTGCTTCCACTACCCCTCCCCCACCTTTATTGGGACTTTCTGAAATCAAGGAATAACTTAGAACCTGGCTTTATTGAAATACTTTTTTGAACCTACATAGCTCCAACTATGTAAAGAATTACCATAATAAACAGTGCCTCCACAGAAACTGAACACTCTACCAGAGAGAAAGGATGAGCTGAACAGACACCTCCATCTGATCCAAGGACCTCAGCAGCAGTTACTTACAATTCTTCTGAAATACCTTATTCATTGACTCAACAACTATCTTTTTTTTTTTGGCTAGGCAATGGGGATAAGTGACTTGCCCAGGGTCACACAGCTAGTAACTGTTATGTGTCTGAGGCCACATTTGAACTCAGGGCCGCCTGACTCCGGGGCTGGTGCTCTATCTACTAAGCCATCTAGCTGCCCCTTAACAGCTATCTTTAACAAAAAAAAAAAAGAGAGAGAGATATAATGGGTGAAAAATGAGAGATCCAATGATCTTTAAAGACACAGCTCCTGCCCTCAGAGAGCAAACAATCTAGCCTATGGATATAACCCACAAGAGCATGCAATAATGATGTAATAAATATAGAATATGGACAGTCCCTAATACAGAATACTATGTAATAAGATTATAAGAAATATACAAAGTGTCATGCAAAAGTACAAGGAAAGAAAACTTGGGGATCAAGGGAGAAGAAGGGGTCGTAGGAGATGTGGAATTTAAGCTGGGCCCAGAATTTCAACATGATGGCAAGGAGGAATAAGGGGGAAAAGAAGACAGACAGGGCAAAGACAAACGCAAATGTTAAAACAGGTACAAGGGCCAATTCAGTTAGATTGTAAGACAAACTGAGAGCAACAGTGTAAGATAAACCTGGAAAGGTAGCCAGTTACATTATGGAAGGCCTTGAATGACAGTTTAAACAGTTTAAACTTTATTTGCTAGGCAATAAAGAATCCTAGTTAAATTGTCCTTCAATTCAGTTTGGTTCAACAATCATTCATGAAATGCCAACAAAGGGTGCTCCCATAACGGTCTGTTTTCACTACTCATCAAGTACCAATACTTTTCCCCTTACAGTCTAATCTAAACTCTTGTTTATACTTGACCCACTGCTTCTTTTCAATGGTTTCTACAATACAGGCCAAAAGCCTTCCTTAGTTAATTTCTTAGGATGCTAAGCCTGGATTTACTATATCAACACCTCCTGCCCCAAGGGCCTCACTTCCCCTGCCAAAAAAAAAAATCTAATTTAAATCTTACCCATAAATCACATTCACCTCTATTTATAATTTCTATTTCTACTTTCTGTTGGATTTTTTTCCCATGTGTTTCTCAACAAATTCTCTCCAACTGTTAGGGAATGAAATGG